ACATCCATTCGTTGTGTCGACCGCGTCTGGGTCCAGAATGCCGTCACATCTTCTGTAATTGAAAGTTTACATTTGGGTACCATATCTTTGGGCATTTGTAAGCGGAAGCGCATATGTACGGTACGGTAGTTAAAGTATGAATGCTACTTTATTTTTACTAAATTAAGCTTGAAAAAGTTATATTTTGAATTTGAAGTTAGAAACGGCATATTCGTGAATAAGACTCCCTTTACCTCTGTTCATAGATGGAGCTTCAGTAAAAAATGCTCTTGAAACCCCTGGGTTGCTGCACTGGTCCGAATATCAGGTCCACCCATCAAAAAAGATTGCTGCAACAATTTCAAGCCAGGATCATCCTTCAATTAGGTTATTCCGAAGTGTTTGGGCCTCGAACGTCACTTCTCAGGGATCATTCCCTGAGAGTAATGTGAGATAGGAGAAAGTTTTGCCCGTCGAGCTCTAAATTTCCTGGCGAAAAGTTTTTGTGTGATTGGAACAAGTTTTGTCAGGAAGGGACAAATTGCTTGACATTTTAGATTGTTGCAGTTCTAAAGTGTTTCTTCTACTTCTCTGCAAGTGGTCGAAGTACCCAAATAGACGATTTTCAAAAAACTTCTCATGCTAGCATTTCTCGACTGGGCAGCTTCATCGCAGTTTGGTAAAGGATAAAAGGAAGTAATTGCGGATAACAGGAAATAACTGCTTTGTCTGGGACAAATTTTGATTGCTCTGGCGATCCGATTCTGATGACAAACGGATTTTTTTGTTTGTTTTTTTCAATTATAGGTCTACCTTTTGTGCCCCGCCACGTTTCGGTCTTGGTGTATTTCGATGGAGTTGGAAAAACAGGGTTTTGGCAGTGCTATCACGACAGGGTCGTCGTCGAAGCAGTGGAACCGAATGCATTAAGTCGTTCGGAAAGTATCTGCCAGAAATTTCGCAATGCTCAAAACTTTTTTACTGGATTTTTCTAGAAAGTTCCATAGAAATACTGTATAAGAGATTACCAACTTGTATACTCATATCCGGAGATACCGTAATGTCGCATTCCGTCACCAGATCGAGGTTCGTCTGCGACCCCCTTGTTTTCGACTTTGAAGCGTTTGAACGAGATGTGCACAGGACCCTTCAGAAGGGTTCTGTGGTTTCTACTGACATTATAGGGTTAAATAAACAAAGATGGGAGCCCGATATGTTATGCGCATACAAGTTGGTATTGTCCTGGTATAAGGATGCCGTGGAAACTTCCAGAGTATTCTAGAGGAAATCCGGACTTTTATGAAATTTTCCTAAGATACTTTTCGAACGATCTGATAAGGAAATGGCATTTGATGATGGCAAGGGTGCTACCAGCTGTCTCAGCGAAATAGAAACTAGTAATTCTCGACTTTGAAGTAACGTTAGTGTTGATGCTTGGTAGTTCACTAGGTCTTTACTTTCCGAAGGAAACCCCTGGATTCAGGTTATAGATAACATTCAGTGACTTATATCGAAAACATAAAGGATAAAGTTTTTGGCGTTTCTCAATCCCGTTTCAACCCCCGCATGCAGAATCGTAGCGGCGTAATGAGTGCGTATGTGGCCTACACAATGAATTGCAGAGGCCAGCCGATGCACAAGACCGTGCTTTTATCCTCCCAGAAGACGGGTTTGGTACCAATTAACCGACCCAGAGCGATGGAAGGCATGGTTAGCCTAGGCGGATATCGGCCCGCGATTCGAACCCCTGACCATGCCTGTGAGATAGTGCGCCATTTGCCGCTACACCACCTCCGCCCATCGAGAAAAAAAAATGAAATCATGTTTATGGGTGATATTATCAAGATTAATAACCCTCGAGGCACCAAAGATGTATTACCAACCCTGGCACTACATACCTTCATGATCCCGAGTAAGAGATCGGAAGGATTGCATGCTCTGTGGTTTAGTGTAATAGGAGAAGGAGCGAATAACCGGTCATAATAGGTTGATTAATTAATATCGTAAATTTTTGATTACTCATTTTAGTAGCTTGTCGATAGATGGTACGAAAATATTCAGAGCGTATGGGGCTCTATTTGTTTCCGTGCAATTAAGAAAACTCAATTTCTAATGTTGTAGGACCTAGCCAACCTTTTAACATTTATTTACCTCCTAGCATACCTTATGATTACTGGTAAATTATGAATGTAAGAATAATTGGAAAGGTTGATTTGAATTTTGAATTCAGGAAGTAAGACACTAGTCTCGTGATTAATATGGCTATCTATTGATAATCATAATATTAATAGGATATGGCTGGTTTTAGGACAATTTGGGAGGCACTACGTACAGTACCGTGTAATAGATTTGTTTTTTTTAAATGTATTTTATTGAAGTTTTGGTTTTCTTTGTAGTTTTTTATGTATTTGAAGCGAGGCACTGTAAAATTACCCCATGATGGATGGTCAGGATTAAGCCTGTGTGGTTAGACATTTCCTGGTCCATTCTGTACGTTCTGAGAGGTTCAGAAGGAGGCCCTGTCTAAGTGTGAAGCGCTTTATCGATCATGACAGAACAGTTGGACAGGATTACTAATACTGTATTAGTAGTAATAAAAACATCTCTTCAAACGGTTATGGTCTTGAAGTCCGAGGCCCTTAGGTACAGACTCAGGGTTGCTTGCCCTAACCAGCCCACCTTCCCTGTCGTTAGGGTCTCTCTTCTAGCAAGGCTGTAGCTAATGTCTTCAAGATCTATGTGTGACTGCAGTACTGTTAGTTAGCAGTATTATTAATGTTTCAGGGGATGATGGTGATCGGAAGCTACAACTGATGTTAGAGAAATATCAAAGTCAGGTGAAATTGCAACAACAGCGAGCACCATCTGCATCACAGGCCAAGACTCCATCGAGGAACAATATAAACAAAATTGAAAGCCAGTTAGTATATCTCCACCAAATATTGATTCGATCCTACTGGTAACATCTCCTACTCCTTAAAAAATGTTCTACTGTTGCAGCGGCGTTGCATCTGTATCCATAGCTCCATCGCCCGGTCGTTCACATCCGATGAGCCATTCACAGCCATGCCTTATCGCCATATCTGATAAACCACCTGATTAGTAAGTTATGATCAATTCTGATAGAGAGCTTTGTTGTTGAACTGGGGCGTGCAAGGCGCGACTGTGATTGGTGGTCGCGAACGATCCACCAATCACAGCATTTCGCGCGTTGCGTCGCCAAAATCCATACTCAAGTTTGTTTACTGATTGAAATTGTATTTAAGTTCGGCTAGTCATGTTCACCAATCCGTTAATCAATTCCCCAATCGGGTATCGTCAGGATTCGGGTCCTGTGAGCAACATGAGGGGCAGTCCAATGGAAATGGTATACAAAGGGTGAGTACTTGTTAATTACCATCTCCGCAATCTCGTTTTAGGTAATGAGGCTGTTTGTCTTAGGGTTGGCGCAATTTGGTATTTGAGTGGAATCTACAGTACCATTATACAATACAAGTAGTATTTAGGTGCCGAATAATCAAAAGTTAATACAATCATTACGGGAAGAAAATCTCCACTTGAAACGTGAAATTGAAGCCAATAAAAAGAAGCTCGTCAAACTCCAACAGGTATCATCCCAGCAGTTGCTTACTGCGACAATAGTCATTTATTTTTGTAAAAATTGTTTCACCCAGATGGAGGCTGCTTATGAACGAATAGAAAAGGATTACGAAAATCTCTTGAGAGAGAAAGAACGACAAGAAGGTGTAGAAAAGTCAGCATTAGTCCAGATGGAAATGCATCTGAAAAGGTGAGCTACTTATCAATCAGTTTTATGAATTCAGTCCTGGTGAAATAGGTATTTCATAATAATATCATTGAATGTAAAAACGAATGATATTTGTTGATAAATGGTTATTAGTTTCATAATAATAACATTGGATGTAAGAACGAGTGATATTTGTTGATAAATGGTTATTAGCTACATTATCGATGTTTAGTATGTCTTACAATTACTGTCTTATTGCGCTACTATATGGTATTATTTATCATTACTAGTATCATTCCAATGTTATAAATTGTCACAGCTAAACTTCTTTTTACTTTTTTTATCACAGCTTTGGTAAATAGTTCAGGGGTTAAAAGAGTTGGATCAAGCGTTTTGCCCGACTTTCCCTTAAGTTGCGGAAGCCTAAGAACCCAGAGCTAGATGGGGGGGGGGGGGGGGGGGGGGGGGGGCACCCTAGGATATCTGTAGAATAGAGGGTGACGTTCTGCAGCAACACTTCCGTTTCAAGTTTTTTCGCCTCTCCTAATAAGCATCGTTATCGCTTTCGACATGCTTACTTAAGATTTTGCGGTTAGAACCAAAGGGATCCTGTTCTCGCAGTAATCCGGGAGTAGGTCTGAGCCCAAACTCCTGGTCGTGTTGCAGTAAGTCCAAGTGACTGCCCTACCCATTCACTCCTTTTTTCTTGGGGACGAGCTTTTTTCCATGCTTCGTATAGGTGACGAGATTAGATTGTGGAGATTCAATTCCAAAGTTCCTTTCCAATTAATCCATTCTTTTATACAAGAAGATTTATTTAGGGTGATCTCCGAGAAGGAAGCGCTACAAGATCGATTGGAGCAGTTTTCTCTGCCAAACGCTCAGGCAATGGAGAAAGTGAATCAGTTAAATATGCTTTTAGCAGAAATAATCCCTCAAAGTGAGTATTATCGGATTCTCCTTCTATCGCTCTTAAATAATGATTGATTAAGTGGGAGTTAATGAGAATTTTAGATAAGGAATTAGTCACGGTGAAGGAACGTCAACGTTTGGAACTGGAAGCTCAAAATGCTACACTTGAAGAACAACGAACACATATTTCAATGCTTGAGAAGGCTTTAAGTAATGCACAAGAACGTCTAGCTAAACGTGAAAAGGTATGGTTGAATCAGAGCGGATGTAGAGCAGCAGGGTTCCTGCCAGGTGCTGTATGCACTTGTCCCATGGGATCGATTCTCTTATAGCCAGGATAGCCAGCCGACTGTTTTAACTCTTTACCACAGTCATAAACATCGAAATTATTTTTCGCCCTATCCATCTACTGTCCTTACAGTAGAGGCTGTAAGAGGGGACTGCTTAGAGGAAGGGCAGACGTTGAACGTGTGGGCGGGGCTAAAAAGCCTGGCTGTTGACAATTGCCTCCCAGGAGACTATTATCAATCATACAGAACTGACTGACCAATGGGCACTGTCATGCTCATCCCTTTTGTACGACGTCTTTTAGGGACGGCAAGAAGTCATCAGTATTACAAGATTGAGAATTTTAGTCAAAGGTAAGTGACTAATGATGATTTATCTTCTGAATAGTTGAATTTTGATCCATGTAGCTCAATGAGGTAAAGGTCGGTCAGGTGGCAAATGTCTCCTTGAGTTCGTCATATTAATCAGAACCGCCTACTCGTTTGCTGTNTAGTTGGCCCACTTCACACTGTCTGTTTCCAGCCCAGTCCATTTCCTGTGAACTTGGTAGGAGGCAAGCAACATCGTGGGAGCGTTGATAATAAGTGGCAGGACCGAGCTCCGCCCACAAGGGCGGGGTTTGCGCGAAATATACCTTCGAGCGGATTTCCGTAGCTACTTTCCCCGTGGATATAGAGCACTCATTGGGTTTGACTGGTTTGGGTGGCGCTTGATCCACGAACCGTTGATATTAATGATGGGTCTTATCTTATCACTACCCATCAGTCATGTTTGTGTTGATATTAAGTAGAAATGTTATTATCGATAACATTCATTGAAGGTATGTGATGAGTTGACGGTAGCTGCTGAAAGAGCAAACCATCTTCAACGTCTTCTTCATGAGACATTACTGGACAAACAAGCCCGTGACGAAACCCATGCACAGGAACGAACACAATGGGAAATGGATATGACTCAACTGAAAATGCAACTGAACAAAGTAAGTACAGTGATGATTCTCGAGAGCGTTTTACCTTCTCAGGGATTGGACTAGAGTTTGAAATACTCCTTTCAGGATTTCTCCCAAAATGGAAGCCTCAAGCGGCTCAGTCGATTAGGTGGCGATTCGAACGACGAGACTATAAACAGGTTGAAGAAATCCATGTATGCGAAAGACGAACGTATAACACAGCTGGAACGGACCGTTGTTGAATTACAAAGGTACTTTACAGTATTTCCATGGTATTGTATCGGGGACATTAGTTCCTTAGGGCGTTAGACGTATCAGGCTCTTTCTATCGTAGAACGCGGTGTTTAATTCAAATCAATTAGGAGTGTCGTTGGTAATGGTTGTGAATTATTATAAGTGTTACCGGTTAATATCAGTTACTAGTAACTTGTTTTTAGGAGATTACAAGAGGAATCGGATCGTAAAAAGACAGCTTTGGGAACGCTTAATGAAAATTTAGAATCAAAAATTAAGCAATACGAGGAGGACCAGGCTGCCAAGGTATTGATTGGTTTTATGCATACTCTGCGTTTATACTTCATCAGTATCTTGCCGTTTTCGGTTGCTCGTTGCATCTTGAAGAGATGGGAGTCACACGATTTGATACGTTTGCGTTACAGAGCCGCAGTGATGTAATTTAACTATTACTAACATAGCACAGCGTTGCGTGTTACGAATCTTCATGTGCAAACTCAGCTATTTGTCTAGGTTTTCTAATTATACAGTACATTTCATGTATTTGAGCATGGATAAAACAGGTTTTCTTAGATATATTCACGCAATTACTCCTGCTCATCCTTTTTCCTCTTTTTTGTTCTTCTCCATTTTGCTAATGGGTTACTATCGATCAAAGTTAAGTTTCAGAGTACACCGATGAGCGCTTGAGCGTAGCGTCGCTGGCCAACGTCTGTCAACGCCTTACATCATCTGACGAGAGCGGTGGACAGGCCGCGTTAGCGTCCGCGTGCCGCTGACGGCCTTCGCTTGTACGCTATCGGAGCATACCTCCAACATGCTTCGACGTTTACCATAATGCTTCAACACTGAAGCCGCTAGCGGAGGCCTGGACGCTGGAGCGGCCTGTCCAGCATTGTCAGCGATGTCCAGCGTTGTTAACGAGTGGCCATTGAGGCTGCGCTCCCAGCGCTCGTCGCTGTACTCTGAACGCCCATCAGCAGGTTTAAACGTTTCGCGAACGCGCGCATTGAAAGTGACCATCAGCTCCTTCCTGACGTGCTGATCCTTATCTTTTCAAACTATACAACTTTGTCATCGAAATTTGA